GGTAACGTTGTTAGGTGATCGGGATACAGGTGGAAGGTGCTTCGTGTTTCGCCGATGTCGCTCAGGACCCACCCGTGTTGTATCTAAGGTCTCATTTTGTACATACCCTCGTTGTAGTCGACCAATAGATGTATTCGCACTCAGTGCGAAAAGTCCTCCCTTTCTCGCGAGACTTCTGTCGATCGGGTTCCAGTGTTTACCCTGTCTGATTCTTTGCCGTCATTCAGCCCGATCCGCATGAAATGGTGGCAACATCCCTAAACTACACCTATTTCGTGTGGTACGTTGGAGCTTGGATTGTTGTTTCCACTGGTGAAGTTTGCTTGTTGCTTACTTTTGGCGAGTTTGTCACCTATCCCCGATATTGAAATCGTTTGCAGGGTGACTCCAGTCCGTGGTGTTGATCTTCATACCCGAGGACGACGATGCCACTGTGTTATATTGCTATTCGAACAAGCAAGGGATCTTGGTTCACCCGGCCAACGCAACGTGGCAATGTAACAGTTTTCTATTCGAGTGTGGTTAGGGGCTTGTTGGGGGCTTGGTACTCTCGATGACAACAATTCGCAGTCAGTCGTACTTCACCGAACAGAACGAGGATGAACCAAGGCAACGAGGAAGCTGGACGGATAGAAACTAGACGTGCATACCCCTACGACCCGATGTGATTGCTTTGTCTACGTATGTGTTGTCGTGGAGAGTGCATACGTTTAGGTTCTGGGATATACTGTAGGAAAGTTTGTAGTGACCGCGATCCACATCCTACTCTCCCCGACTCTTCAAAGGCAGAGGAATTAAGTACGGATCAAACGTTTAACCCTCGAAGTATCCCGAACTACGAGAATACACCCACCTATTCGCAAACGAGGTGAAATTCTCTGGTCATGATTGACATTATTCCAAACGAAACCTTCTCCTCGAAAAAATGAGATTCGGGTGACCGGGGTGGTTTAAAGTGGACATGCATGTTTTCTGAAAAAGATGCCGACTTTCGAATTTCTGTTTTTGGAGTATTTTTCGCAGTGGTAAGTCATCGTCAAAAATCGCGGAATCTACACTTTTTTCTGAGTACTGTTGGCAGTAAACTTCAAAGGCCTTCAATATCTTCTCTATGTCTGTGTTTGAAGTGACCCTCCAGCTGGCCTATATATCATCAACAACACGTACAGACCAGAACACGACAACCTCCAAACTACAAGATAGATGGAAGTGGAGCCCATAGTGCCAGTTTGGAAGCTGAGGCCGAAAATAGGAACTGCACGAGCTACACACAGACAGATAGATGAAGAGACCATCCTCGCACCACTACAAAACCGGGAATCGTTCATCGTCGAAATTTGTTTTTCCGTCGAACAAGCCAACATCCCTCCATCCAGACATGGCGGTGTCAAACTTTTTTTTACAACCAACATAGCTTCCAAGAAGGCTGCCACCCAAGCTGCCACCTACTACATCGAATATATTATTAGCATCTACTTCAAGACGCCCCCCACAGCATCTCCGCGTGTCTCCACTCTGCCGAGGAGCCCTCTGCCGTGTTAGCCAACGCACGGCCTAGCAGCTGCGAACTGATCGAGAACATGGCTGCGCAGCGTTGCCGGCATGCGGAGTAGGAGCGCGTAACAGCCCGTAGGTAGGAAGAGCCACTAAAAAACAGACCGAAACAAACACACCAAACTTCCATAAGCGGACTAAAAGCGACTTCCATCGAAGATAGTCGACCTCCACTAGCTTCCATGGAAGCTCAATTTCCATGCAAGTCGGTCGTGGAACGTCCCTACCTTAACTTCCACGGAAGTCACCTTAGGTCACTATCCCTTCTATGGAAGAAAATATCTACAAGAGGAGATCGGGGCAACCAGGAGTTCGAGTTCGATTGCATTGGGGGCGGAGAGGTTGGGGCGATGTGTGGCGCAAAGGCCGGAAGAAGAGGGGAATGTAGCAGCCAACCGGTGGAAGCCCGAGAGGAGCTGCCCATGAACCGGAAGAATAGGTTTTTATCCGATCGTCGATCTCGAGCAAAACTGTGGTGGAATATTATGGTAGCATCTATCTATCCTTTCCTCTCGGGCGCTCTCGGAGCTACCGCAGTGAAAACATGAGGAGGATTGTCATATCTTCCAGGCAGCCCCCAAACCCCAACATCGGCGTGACGTGACGGGGGTGTTGCCTTGTTGAGAATGGCCGTGAGGGTTGTAGGGTTCAACGTCTATTTAGACCTCAAGAGTCACCAACAGACCAAAAATAGACCCCGCGTCAGTGGAAAAAATGCTTTCATGTAAGTTGCCGTGCTTCCGTGGAAGTATGTTCCTGTTTCGGGGAGGGGTCGACGGTGGTTGCTTCCATGGAATCTCTTCGTACGTTTATGGAAGCTGACAATGCGGCTTCTGCTTCCATGGAACCTGATCAACTTCCTTCCATGGAAGTTCCCTCAAATTCCAAGGAAGCCTTAAGGAAGCTGGCACCGGAATCCGGCACGCAGCTTCCATACGGTTTCCATGGAAGATGATATGCTTCCATGGATGTCGTGTGTACTTCCTCCGTGGAAGTTGGAGGGGCTTCCATGGACTTCCATTGAAGTATATATCGACTTCCTCCAGGAAACTTGTACCTTACGTCGAACATGTCGAATATCGTAGGTTACCCGTAGTGACTCGTCAATAATAGTTGCGCTGTTGCACAAAGAGTTAGTTGAGCCACTTCTGGTCTCGTCTTCCTCTTTCGGACCGTGTACCACGGTAACCGAGAACCTTCATGACCTCCCGACCCACCTAACGGAAGCAACCGGGATCAAGCCATACCACGGCATCACGGCAACGTTTAGCACCATACGGCCCGGAATCTTTCTCGTATTCGGGGTTCTTCACGTAGGGAACCAATCCAAGATCACGTTTCAATATTGCCATTCTGACTGCATTACGTGTGTGTGTATGTATTTGCCAAATGTCCATGCAGAGATGTGGTATCGAGTTTCTGACTTTCGAGGCTCAGAAGGAAGTCATGCACCTCTTTGCCTGTTGGGTTTTTGGCTATTTGTGTCGCCTGCCCAGTAATGGAGAACCGAAACTTAAACTTCTGTCGGCGTGGTTTGTGTGGTTTCGTCTGTCGATTCAGGTGATCTCGACGGTACCGGCGTGTACTCGGACGTCACCGCCGAGGAGGTGTCCTTCACGTGCGGATGCACCGGCACGCCCGCCCCCGCGCCCGCCTCCTCGGCTATCGCTGCCCCGGAATCACCCACCGGAACGTCTCCAACAATTGAACCAGAAAGTGGTGGTGGTGGCATGCTTGGCCGCAGGTTGTCAACGTCGGCTCTCGTGGCCGGAGCCACGAGTGTATTGTGGCCATCGCGCTGGCCCTCGCAATGGGCGGGTAAAAAAAGTCATGTGCTCATTTTGAGAGCTCCCACAATGTCCGGATAGGATAGTTGTCACGGCGGCTGAGGCTTCCTTCGATTGGAGGGTTGACTGAAACCTGGAGAGGACGAGTGAGCATCGCTTTTCTCCAGCTGGCAGACCAAGGCCGGGACACGTTTACACTACACGTTTTTGCTCTTGGGGCACCTGAACGTCAAGAACGCGAGTGTTTCAATCCTGTCGAGCCGACATATACGTACGATGTAGATGGCATGTTCGTACAGCTTCGCTGTAGAAACTGTTTTCCCATGGATACAACCATCAGCGCTCGCAACGTGAAAATCGGGGGAGTTTCCCATGGTAGTCGGCATCACCACCGTCGAACTTCTACCATCCCCCAGGCAAGAAAAACGGGCTCCCTTGGGGAAGAATGAGAGACTGGCTTGCTTTCGAAATTCCATGGGTGAAAAAAAGGTGGCGAAATAGCAGCGAAATCATCAACAGCGAAAACTTGCAGACAGTCATCACCTGGACCTCCTCACCTGATGACAACGGCCAAGTCCGCAACACCGTGAAAAAAGAAATGGGAACAAAAAATCTCAAGGAGAAAACCGAACGGGGATGCATTCGGCAATGGCTCACAACCCGTTCCCCCTTGGGGTGCCACGTAAAGGAAGTCGTTACGGATTCAATGGGGACACCGCGATGTTGCCTATGAACTCAAAACAAGTGTGTGTTTTGCTGCAATCGACGCGCCGCTGCAGATATGTGTGCCTGACTCTTGCCCACAAACGCGATTCAACCTTGAGAGAGTAGGGTCGCCAATACACCGCCTTCCACGGCGGATGCCTTGCGAACTCCTCAGGTAGAAATTGCTTCTCGTCAAATCCTGTGTATGAACGTGTATTAAGTGACAAATGTGTCGCTTCGCGCCAACCCAGTCACCGTTGTTGGTTGGACAAAGGAAAGCACCCACGCACAGAAGCACATTTTCATCTCGTCTCCAGAACATGAGAGAGGGGCTCGTGACAATGCACGATAAGCCGCAAGGGTTGGCTTCGCCACACATGTCACGTATTGAGGTTAAGGTACCTTAAAGCCGACATTGTTCGTTGTTCCTCGAACACCCGTGTTGCCGGCCCGCAAAAAAACGTTTATTTTGTTTTGTATTTCATAGAAGCGTGACGGAGCTCCCATGATAAATTTTCAGGTACGAATAAAAATACCATCATATTTATATTTGTAATACCTCCCGCCCGAAAACCTCACGCGCGCGCGTGCCCTCCTTAAACTCGCACCAAAAGCTCCATCCATCAGGGGCACCGCCAACTCGCCGACGCTACTCTCTCTCTCTCTCTCTCTCTGTTGAACAACCACCCCGTCGCAAATCATAATCGTCCCCAAAAATCACCACGCAAGTGGAGCCATATCTCCACAACGCGCACACACTCTTCTTCCCGTTGAGGTGCCGATGGACCATCGCCACGCCGACGGAAACGAAATGGAAGAACAGGTGCTCGATAGCAGGTGCAGCAAAAACGAAGAAAACGACACAAAAGAACGTAGGGAGAGCTGGACCCTCGGGCCTACCTTTCTTCTAGGCCTTCGGTCGGGGGTAGCAGGGAGGGGGGCGTCTCGTCTGCGACTCCCCCACACCTCGCAAGCGCTTCAACAAACTCAATTGCTCCCAGGACACATGATTAACCATTGGCCTCGACAGCAGTTTGTGATGCCATTGAGGCCACCACGAAGCGGATCGAATCCGCCAAGGCTAACGCCAGTTTCCCCTCACTACTCCCCAGCGCGTTGATGCCACCCCAACGCCCAAAAGACCGACACGAAAGAGATCTATCCGCGGCAATTTTCAGCGCCCCGCGCCCCAAAATCAACAGCGAAAACATGTACGAAAGAAAAAAACGCGAAACAGGTAAAACCACAATCCAATCACACGCAAGGACGGTCTACTGATAAACCGCCGTCCCTCTCTCTCTCCGACGGAAAATCATACCTAAACATACAAAGCAAACGAGAAAAAATAAAAGGAGGAGGGGATCGTCGAGAAGACAGTCCACAGCAGGCGAAACACCTTTTGTTTCCGTCAGCCACGCATCTTGCTGACAACCACCCCCATCACTGCCGCATCATCACCGCACCCGGTGCACGTGGCAGCCCTTTACCCTCCGCACTCCAAACAACAAATTACTGAAACATGGCCAAAAACACACACATAAAAAACAGGACTGTTTTGGGTCAGGGTTCGATATCTGTATCTACGTGTGCAAGGGACCGACCACAACTGCCAAAGCTTATTAGTTTTTCTAATAGTTCTATTAGTTGAGGGTTCTGTACGAAATCCGAGAGGCAAACCTGTGTGTAGATATCGGACCTTCCAGCAAAATGTCGGATCATTAAATGAAAATCGGATCTTCCGCCGCAGCGGCAGTCTTGGGTGAACTTCCGGAAGACTTGGCCGCCGCTTCCTGTGCGACGCGCTTAAGTCCTTCCAGGTCTCCCGCCTGATGTGTTCAGAGTCGTTTGTTGGCGGGGGCGGTGCGGTGGCGGGGGCAGGGGGGAGAGGTCGCAGCGCGTCCGCCGTTACGCAAGGTACGTCGATGTTATCAGGAATGCCTTCGTTGTTCTGGTTGGTTGTCGGACTTTTATATGGCGTGCGGACAAAAGCAACGACTACAACGGTTCCCAGGGTAGACGTTTTTCCCCACCAACAACAAAACACCTTCAACACCACCAGCAACCAACGAAAACAACCAATTTCGTTGGTTGGTGGTCGTGTTGAACGTGTGTTGTTGGTGGTGGGGAACAACGTCTACCATGGGAACCGTTGTAGTCGTTGTTTTTTTCCGCACGCCATATGAAAGTCCGTGCAGTCTGCCTACATGTAGCCGCGGCCCATCACCAACCTTTCTTCCATTGGTAGTTCAACTTAAACTTAAACTCGTTGTTGAAATCTTCCCACGTGTCTTCAAAAATGATCCCGCCCGCACAGAGGCGGCAAGGACTCGGGTTGTCCCGAAGTATCCCAAAAAGCCCACACGACCCACAATTGTCACACACATCGCGTAGCGAAAGTTCAGAAAATATCAACCGCGGTAATCAATTTTCCATCAAAAGAAGAGAGCCTCACGAGATAGCATTCTTCTGCATCGCCTTCATACCATAACGCGTTGACATGCCTCCCATGGAATGGGGTGGGTCCCTAGAGAGCCAGGACATTGCCGCCCAGAAGACACTTCGGATGACGGGCAGACGTTTTGAATCAACCTTACCGCTGTGTGCAAATAATCCACATCATCAAGACACACACACACGAACAAAAAATCGTTTCGAAGAAAACGACTACCGAATTGCGCGTCCCAATTAATGGTGGGTGCTGAAATCGTCATGCCCACCTGTCCTAAAAAAAAGAAAAAAAAAACACACCTTTTCGCACATGCCCCGGAATTGGCTGTAGGGGTCTTGCAAGAGAGCCAGAGGCGTGTCGTACTCGGCGACCTGACCCTGGTCGAGGACCAGCACGCGGTCGTAAAACGCCACGGTGTGCAGCCTGCTTGCCAAAAAAAAAAAAAAAGTGATATCTCCGGAGTGTGGGCTCATGAGAGCACGGAAGTAGGGTGGTGCAAAATGAAAATACAGGGACGGAGCAGGACCTTCAGCTGGCCGCCAGCTGTTACCTTTGACGGCGTTCAAAAAGCTCAATAGCTCACACAGCTACCGTGTTTTTGAGTTGGAAGAGCCCAGCGAACCTCAACGAACCACCAAGAAAACAATTACAAATCTGTAATCAGTGTTGCACGAACTAAACAACACCTGCCACGTACAGAGTGTTAGCGCCACTTTGGCAAGCGGGAAAAAATGAGCCAGTCAAGCAAGTCAACTGTAGTCTCCATGAAATCACAATTCGGGTTGACATCAGCTCGGTTTGAAAAAAGAAAAGCACACGTCGACCGGTAAAGGATAAGGCCAAGATCGTGCCCGAGCCATCCATGATACAATACATATCCAATCGTCGACGGCACACCACAAAACCAACCACGATACAACAGTCTAGCTTCAATCGTGGGCCGTGTACCACAATTTGTACCCCGTCTAGTTTCAATTGTCAACGGATTACCAAGGTAAAAAAAAACAAGATGAACAGGCTAGTTTCACTCGTGAATGGAAAAGCACACCACGATCAATACGTGGACGAATTGCCAAAAATCAACCACGATGCAACAGTCTAGTTGCAATCGTCGACGGTACACCACAGCAGTCAACCACAACAAAAAATCCTTGTCTACATCGTGGACGGTTTCATTTATCTACGTACCCACCACCCACCTGTGCGCGATGCAGAGGATTGTGCAATCGCCGAATCCCTCTTTCATGGCTTCCTGGATCAAGGCGTCCGTTTCCGGGTCTGCGAGAGACAACAACCAGGGGGACGACAACATGCATGTATCATCTATCACACAGTCACTACCACAATTGCTGAGATATCCTAAGCACGATCGCTAGTATCAGGTTCAGGTCTCAAGAAAAATACGGTAGTGAGCGACAAGGACATGTGTACCACGATGACGTAAGGTTAGCAAAACAGGGAAATAGGGACTGCACAGGTATCAGGGGAAACCTACCAAACCTGCTTGCGGACGTGTTACGTGCAAAGCACCACGTACAGCGCACACATAGCACGAGCAAGTAGATGCCGACAAAATAGAGCGACGGCGGCCATGGCGTGGCGGGGGCGCCATGCGCACTCAGGAACCCCTCTGCAAGCAACTTTCGAAAATGGAAAAGCTTTCCAAGGCCATGACACCCTGCCTAGTCTGTCTAGAACAAAAGCTCCGTAAACAGTCAAGGACGGAAGGGCTCCGTCCGCGACATCTTCCGAAAATAGAAGCGACGAAACAGATGGCTGTGAAAAAAAAAAAAAGAACGCCGGCCGGGGTTTTACAGCTAATTGCGCCGCATCTCACCGACGTTGGCAGTCGCCTCGTCCATGACCAGGACCGCCGCGCGCCTCAAGAGGGCCCTCGCCATGCACATGAGCTGCCGCTGCCCCACCGACAGGTTGCTGCCTTCGGCGGACACTGCCACGATCCAGGAGCAAAAAGCACAACAGGAGAGCAAGCAAAAAAAAAAAAAAAATCGACGTTGTGTGTCAACACCACGATAGAGACGATACAGGAAATGGTGAACAATGGACGGGAAGATGCCCCCGTATTGGAGGGGGCGTGTGCGTGAGGGGACCTAGGGCATCACGGAAGCAACGGGGGCTGCAAAGCAACGCGGGCTGCATCTTGACTCTGGCAGCTCCGCCCCTCGGCTCTTCCTCTCTCAACGACCTCGTGTGGCGTGAACGCAACGCTGTTATCTACGC